ACCAGACCGTTCATGGGGTCGCCTGGTCCGTCGACTGGAACGATCGCGGCGAATGTTTGGAGGACCCCTACGATTTGCCACAGCGGTTGCGTCCAGATGATGGGCGCGGGGCTTTACCAGCGACGGCCTTGACATTGTGGTCTTCGACTTGGACGACCCGAAGAAAATGGGCGGATACATCGCGGTGGCATTTGCAACCCGCGTTTTCGAGGGGCGCTTGTCTTGGGTCCTGCCCGACGGGGCATTGATCGCACACCTTCGCCCCTTTCATGGTCCGAGGTTCACCAGGCCTTCAGGCTAATTGTCGGTGGATGTGGGCGCGGGATCTTGCGGGCGCTGATGTGCGATTGCCGGCCCATGGTGTCGCCCTCGCATGCATGCCTGAGTCGGCGTGCGTCGATTGGAGGAAGCCCGATGAGCAGATCGTTGAAGTGGAAGGCGATGAAGATGACAGACCTTCGACGACGTAGGTAAGAACAAGACGGTTCTCCCTCCTCCATGGAGTGACGACGGCTTGGCGCGCAGCGCGGGGTGTCGGAACGTGCTGGACATCGCCCATTGTACCCACTGCCGACTGGAGGTCGCTCGCGGCGCCGAGACCCCACAGCCGCGGGGCACCGCGCCCTTCAAGACCAGCGGGAAGTCGGACTGGGGGAGACCCCTCATTGGACGTCCGCCCTGGGGTCCAGCAGCTATGTTGCTGGTCCTGGACAGAAGGTGCCCAGGCAGGGCCAAGTCGGACAGGAAACGGACGCCAATGTCAACAAGACGGTTCAGAAGTGGCAACAAGACAACCGAGATGGCGCCGTTTACAGGTGGTGGCTTACGTCGGAATTCAAAACGACCTTCGAGACGAATGCCGCCTGCGACTCGCGCCCGCTGCAGCGCGGCCTGACCGAGCTTGCTATGGCTACGAAGCCTGCGCAGCGGTAAACCAGTCGTGCCAATCGAAGCGTGGTGGCCTGATTTCAGTCGGCGGATCAACATCGATGGCGACCAAAGTGATTACTCTGTCCTGGAGGCGTTTGCGCGGGATCTTCAGTGCTGCGAGGATCGCAACAAACATGCGCCATCCGCTGGGTGGCACGGAGGGGCCAGATGCAGAGATGCGACCAATATTCCCCTTTTTGACCTCCTCCAGAAAGTCATCCACGGCGAGATCGAGGAATACTGGCAGCCTGCGGAAAGACCGCCTGCGGCGGATAATGCAAGAGGACAAGAGTGACCTGGGTTCGCTCGCACGGCCCAGACTTGCGCCCTCAGGGCCGGATGCGATCGCACTGCGCTGACCGCGTCAAGGCAGTTAGGGGTGACGTCAACTTCACCGAGCTGGATCGCACCATGATTCAATCTGCGACCAAGTTCATCAACGCATACCATGGACTGGACTTCGACACCACGCCGTCTTCATTAGAGGTTGTATCCATGATGAAACAGCAATGGTCGGGCCCACCGGCACCCCCCCCATATTATGGCCATATAGGTTTGCGTTGCATGGCTCGCGGTGGGCTATGCAGACGCATCGCGTGGCGATCCAGAAGGCGAAGGACTGCGCGTGGCCGCGCAGCGCGGAAGATAATGGCGAACACCATCCAGAGGGGCTCAACTACGTGAGCGACATGAGGGAACAGCTGAAGATTGTGCGCGCGCAGGGAGACCGTCGCCACGACTGACGAGCGCGTCGCAGTCATGGGCGACGACGCGAGAAAATTGGCGAAGGGCAACATCGCAAGGATCGAAGACTGTCTCCAGTAATTCCATCAACGCGAAGGTGGGCACTTCACTGGCACCACGGCGCATCTGGTGACGTCTGGTGGCTCTGCCGTCAGGCGCGCGGCGGATCCGATTCAACGATTGCCGGAATATCGTTGACTCGGCGCTGATCGCGCTCGAGATGCGGCGCGAGCCAGACGCGCCTCAGCCGAACTCGATGGGTCCAAGGTGCAGCTCGCGGGGGCACCAGCGATTCGGAACTGTGTCCCAGGCGCGGCGTCGGAGCCCGATCCGCAGCGCGGTCGCGCGAGTGGCGAGCGCCCCCGATGCAGCCAGCCCACGGCGCGCTCACGTTCTGCTCGGATGACTTCGGCAAGGAAGGGCAGTTCAGTGGAACGTGGTCGCGGCGCCGTCCCTGCTGCCGCCTGCAAGGGCAAGGGGCGGGATCCGCTGTTGAAGAGGCGTGGCAGCCAGAAGCATCGCGATCGCCCTCCGCCGTTGCGCCGTTGTGATCGCCCGCCGATGTTGTGGGAGCTCCATGCCCGTGGTCGGGCGTCGTCAACGGTCGCCCCCGCCACCCCGCAGTTTCGGCGCCTCTCGACGGAGGGCGCGGGAGACGACCAATGGCGAGGAACCCCGTCGGAGTCAGAAGGGGGATGCGCCGTGGACATCGTGGAACAGCGCGTGGAGGGGCTTTGGCAGGTGGTCTGACTGGCGTGACTGGGGCAGCCGCTGTGGTTGGGACGACTGATGGCGCGATTCCTGGCGCTGAGGAAAGGCGGCTTGCCATTATGTGATGAGCGTCCTGGAAGCGAGGAAAGGCGACTCGCCACCGTGCGATGGGCGATCTGGTACGCTGGCGCGGCGCGAGGGCGGGTGGCAGCCGTGGGATCAGTTAGCACGCTCGGGTTTGTCTTATGGGCTCTGCCAGGAGCAGGTGCCATCCCTGCCACGATTGGCGTAAAACGTTTTTGCAGTTGGTGCCGTGGGGGCCAATGCGCCTTGGGATGGCTCGAACACCGTCAACTTTGAGACGTGCCGAAGCCAGGCCCACGCGCCCCGCAACATTACAAGCCTTTGCGTCCCCGGCAGCCTGCCAGGACGCGGAGCATTGGCCAATGTGACAGCGTCCATCGACGCACAGAGCACTTGAGCACCGACGGCCGCGGGGGGAGTCATTAGCTACGTTCCCCCCGCCTCTTTTCCTGCGCCCCTTTTTTTCTCCAACAGAGGGTTGGCGGCGCGTAGTATGTCACTTTTGAAGCTGTTTCTGATGTGAGGTAAACTGGATCACGTGCGCACGCGCCCAGTTTCCCCTCCCGTCGGCCGGCCGGCTTAAACATACGTCATACCTAATACAGTAGATTCGATTCGCCTGCCGGAAACTATCGCCATGTCGGCAATAAGGTCTTTTACCCCGAGGTTCACTATGAGACCATTGGTACACGATCTACACTTACGATATGAAGAGCAGCAAGAACACCAGGATCATCCGAAACACAGGCCTTCGAAAACGAAAATTCCCAACTTGGGTATTACTCGGCCGCTTGCTGTCACCCTGGCCCAAAGGGGGATTTACCGCGCGCAGACTGCCTGCGGGCTGCCCGCCCTGGACCAGGCGGCCCGCGCCACACGTTGGCGGCGAGTGCCCTCATCCGAGTTCGGCTTGAGTTCGCCCCAGCGCTATCGATCCGCGTGTCGCGCTGCCGGTTCTGGCCTGTATCGCTGCGGCGCTATGCGATAGCCACGTCCCCTGTTCCTGGCGTCGGCGTCCCGAGCCGCTCCGAGCATTCCACCCCGCGGAGCGGAGCGACACGCTATTTGCTTGCAGGGCATAGCGTGTCGCCGGGGCCGCCGCCACAACACGCTAATCAAAAGTTTCTGGCGGTACACATCGTTTTTCATGTGAGCGCTCTTTTCTGCTTCTGTCAATCGTCGCTTGCCCAGGAGGGGAAACAAAAGCAAAGACACAAATAAACGTCGATGCCCAAAACAACTGTTGGATAATATCGGGAGTGGGGGGAATACTACTCTCCCTAACATTGAAACCGGTGGGGAATCTTGAACGTGTGTCTGTTTACTTGTGCCTCTCTGGGCCCCTGTACTTGCTGCGGCGCGCTCCCAAGAGTGCGCTCACGCTTCGGCTGGGTGAGCACTGCCGCTGCCAGGGGCACGGCCCGTCGCTGCTCGAGTCCTACGCGCACTGGCCGGTGCGACCAGACCGTTGCGGCCCGTCACAATCGGCGGAAAGTGCGCGAGCGGCCCCGTGCCCTGCAGCAGGTGGCATGGGCCACGCGAGATGCCGCGGGGTGTGCACTGTCTTCTCTTCCTCCTCCTCCTCCTCCTCCCTCCTCCTTCTCCTCCTCCTCCTCCTCCTCTTCCTCCTCTTCCTTCTCCTCCTCGTCCTCCTCCTCCTCCTCCTCCTCCTCCTCCTCCTCCTCCTCCTCCTCCTCCTCCTCCTCCTCCTCCTCCTCCTCCTCCTCCTCCTCCTCCTCCCCTCGTGCCATGCCAGCTAGGAGATCTGGGCCGCGGGTGGCCACAGCGTACCCAGACGGTGAGGAGGCTGTGCAGGTTGCTCCATTGGTCCCCCCACGGCTTGCAGGATAGGGCCTTGGGCCAGGGGGCGAAAGCACTAGGACCTCCCAGTGCAGGGGTCCTCCCAGTGCAGGGGTTTGTGGTGGGCACCCTCGATCCAGGAACAACAGAAACGCACAGACTTATTAAATTTCTCAGAGGTCCGTGCGAATTTCTCGGATCGGCGTTGGGCCCCCTTGGCTGCGCTTCGGGCGCCGCCTTTTGCACGCTCCGCGCGCCAGGGTGGGGGTCCAGCGCCGATCCCAGAGATCCACGCCGAGTTCTGAGAAATGTTGGTTATGCGGATTTGTGTGCCTCTGGTCAAGAAAGCGACGCAGAACAACAGGGCCGCTTCCACGGACATTAGCGCGCAAGCTGCCCGGGAAAGGTCACGCGTAAGCACCCTCGCTTCCACAGTGGCGTGTCTCTCTGGCGGTCCGCGTGAGCCGCGGCGTACGTCCACGCCCTCATGCCAAGGGAGGAGAACCAACCCGACCCCCACAATCGACATTTACCGAGCGGCCCTCAGCGCTTATCAAACATCCCTGCCTTGTCCGATTCTTTCCGTGCCTTCGCTAAACGGTCTCGCTCGTCGGCGTGCTTATCATGAGGGTGTTTCTTTCTGTTCTCTATCATCTGTGCTCATGCGTAAGGCAATCTTCTACTCGTCGCTCGGATGCGTGGTCGTTGGATGTTGTTCCCCGCCCGCACAG